AAAATTTCGATTTCAAAGGGAATCGTTTATTATTATTCCATGGAGTGGGAATTATTGTTCTAATAGCCTGAACAACAATTTATAATATGAACAATATTTACAACATTAAAAACATGAACATTAAGAACATATAACATATACACAAGAGAATTTGACGATGGGGTAAGGGCCGCTTATATAACCCGCGATTACCAAACATTGCAACAAAAGGAATCAGTAATCGACATTTTCAAGGATCAATAGATTTTAAATTAACTAGTGGCACCGATGCTCAAAATATGCAACGGATGGCACTATACCAAAATTAATTGTTGCAGAGAAAGATTTTACCACGTGACTCACTTATCTAATTCATCAGGTCGGCTTGCCGTAACAGTTGCATCAGGTTCTGAGCCATCCCATACTTATACTGTAAACTCGTTAATTCAGTGATAGCAAGGACAAATTAACAAGTGGCAAAGTTATTCTAAATATTTTTATAAAAACATGATAATATACAATAATGAACATAGTACTTGTAAATAGCCGATTTTGCTATTTACTACGAATTATTTGATTGGCCGAAAATTCACTCCCATGTATTTTGGAGTTGGTAAAACTCGTGCGTCTCTCGTATAACTTAGATCACTTGATCGTAAATAGTGATAATTCGCGAGCAAACGTCTGGGAGGGAAATTGAGTACTAGAGTGATGAATTCGAATGGTGATGATATAAAACTCATTATTTCTCCCAGGCGGAAAAAGTAAGTTGGTTACTGCTGAGGGTAAAACTGTGGCTTCATCTCTTGTAATAATAAAATACTAATATTCGTTATTGATTATTGGAAATGTTGTATTATTTTGTTCTCTAACGATACTTTGATGTAAGAATTGCCTAGTGACTAATAAGACATTTTTACGGAATAATTATTTCGTTATAAAATCATGGCGATTAATAAGCAGGGCATGAAAAGTATTCGGCTATTATATTATTCTCTGAATTGACACTTTGCATATAAGTTCTTCGCGATTAATAAGACAAGTAGCAGAGTATCCGTCTATCGATGCTTTGTGGTAATATCTTGGCGACTAATAAGGGAAGCGTGAGAAGTGTTCAGTTTAGAAAGATTGCGATTATAAGACCTTATGTTTAATACAGAAAAGGCGTCGAAATAATAAAGACGATGTACTGTATAACACCGAGAGTTTAATATACTAGTTAGAAGGTTGATACTCGTAATATACAACAAAAAGTTATTGTGAATCCATCGTTATTGTGGATTTATCGTTATAGAGTGTGATAGAGACACGAAGCGAAATGCGATACTCTTGGTTCGGAGCATTACAGTGGAAGGCTGAAACTAACCTTCATTAACGAGATAATATCCACGATATAATGTATAATGGGTATTGGTGGTATAAATATCACAGATAAACATTACTAGAACGATTGATTTGGTGTAGGCTTGGTTAACGAAAATATATAAAACTGTCTTTCAAATGTTAAGATTGTTTAAATCGGATATTTGTCGATTCTCGAGTTTTTCGAATATATGGGATCGATAAACAAAGAATATTATTACGTTTCTATTCATCTACGCCCATCCCATTGGACTTCTACAGTTTTACGTCTCGCACTCTGCCAGTTTTTTTTTAAAACATAATCAGAATTATTGTAAAAAACAAATTATGTGCTAGTCTAGAATCTATTGTAAAAGTCTTAATTGGTGCCTTATTATAGCAATGACATTACTATTTTATCTTAGCTATCATCCATGCTTTTCGTAAATCTGCCCATTAATATTACGGATAATAAAGTAGCTGGTTATCATTATACAATTCCGGGAAAAGACTGTTAGATAAGTATTCAAACCTCTCATTTATTGAAATTTTCCGACTCGATTGTGCAAATTATTGTCGAAATTGTTATAAATATCTATTACTATTGAAAGTAAGACAAGTTTAATTAATATTCCCAAATATTCAATGTGAGCTACTTGGTAGGTTATTATTTTTGCGTATACAAATTGCGTTCAGTACTATTGTTAAATCGATCGTAGTCGCCCGAATTGTGCCAAATTCTGGTGCATGAGACTATTAGCGCACTGCACATTATGATATGAGCTGAAATGCTTAATTTGTCTACCATAGACTTATGAATGAGTGTGGACATTAAATCCAATCTACACTTGCTAGCATACGACAAATGACTGTCATCATTTTTGTTTGATTATTTCCTAACAAAAAAATTGTTAAAACGGAAGGGGGGAGGTTGCGTGCTGTTCTAGTAGAGGTTAGTAATTCTCATTACCCACCAATCGGATATTATTATTTTAATGAATAATTATCGGCCTTTTTGTATATTTGCTAATATTGTAGTGTGAGGTTTTGATGATTCTCATTTGATAGGTAGAGATAGAATTATTAATAATGAATGTCAAACATTTTGGAACCCTGTATAACAAATCAGTTATTTGCCTAAAATCGTTAATTTTATCCGTTTGTTTCTGTCATGTTTCGTTTTTGACATTGAAAAAAAGTGTCGTGTCTCTACAAAAAGGCATATTCGGGAAAAAGTAGCCGTACGGCGTTTAACTTGGTGAAATCGGGGAAACCGATTGATAGCACAAGTAATAAATTTAAAGTTGTATTTTGTAATTGAGAAAGACATGGTACGAATTTATGGTAACCAAGCCTGTATATCGGTCGTGCATGCGAATATACGTCAGTTATAAGGCAAATTGTCATCCAATCATTATTATTTATTAAGCACGCAGCGCTTCACTCGTGATTTTTCTAACAAACCATGTTATTGTAATGCAAATAAAACGCACCAATTGTGCCGATTTTGAAACACAAGTTCTTGCGCAATACATAATATTATTCGCAAAACTCAAAGCGATAGAATGTTTGTTTATCGCCCTGTTATTGGACCTTAGTAACTGTCATTATAATGCAACTACTGTAAATTGTATTGGGAAAACTGGTATCATCTGTGTGACCTGTTTGCAAAAAAAAGGTTGGACAAAACCATATACCCAACAAGCATAATTTTTTCCGCGACACTTATGGAAAGACATTTGAAGATCACTATAATATTAATGTAATTATGTATGCAGCGTTAATTATCACTTTCAGAACCACTCAAATGCCGATCCAAAATGCTGTATTTTCTCTTCCTCTTTGACTTGCATAATTTTTAGCCTAGATCCGATTTAATGAACGAAAGAAACATCATTGGTAAATGAATTTGATTTTGCTGTCTCGTATTGTCGACACTATGAATTACGGAATTTCTTTGTAGTAAATTCAGAAGTTCAGTTCAAAGCATGAGTATATTGTATAATTTTTGCATTTCTTCCTCTTCATTATTGAATCAATTGTGCACTTTACGGGACGTACTGAAGATTCTGGCAATTTTCATCTTCAACCACGTTAACTTTATTATACTCATTATTCGCACAGTTGACGTGGGATTATTGCACAGACTTACGTAAACCGATATACTGCAGAAAACCGGTGATAATACCTCCATTACAAAATCTACTCTAAAACCACAATTGATGTCACATCGATATCTATTCGTGACACCACACTCCCTAGCGCAATTCTATTGTTAGTTGTAACGCAAAATCGGGGTAAGGCTTTTTCCCTCTGCCCAGAAATTGAATATTCAAAACTGATCAACTATTGCATAAGACAACCAATAAAAATTACAATTCTCGAAAAACCGATACTGCGTCTCCAGCTTATCAATATTAAATTTATTGGGAAAAACCGATAGATCTCCGAACGAGGTAATGGTCTATCGTCGATCCCTGCAGTTGGCGCCGTGAAATCGGGTAGACGATTTGCCGTATTGAAAGACATATAAGGCTTCTTAACATACAATGTTTTTAGAGATCGACCAATCTCGCGAATGGTAGACTTGATATTGTGTAGAAGTATCAAAGGGAATGTTGTACCAGTACAGCAGTTTATGTGTGGAGTAAGCTGACAGTTTGACGATTAGATATGTATTTGTTACCTAAATCTGTTTATGTATATGATCGCCTTCAAATGATATTAAATCATTTACCCACGTGCATCCAAATTCTAAAGAGATTGGCGTACACAGAATTAGAGCTATGATCGACACCAGTACGTCATGAGGTTAATATACACCAGTTTATTTATACTATGCTCCATAATTCTCTAAAGGTGTCGTATAAAATTCGAAGTTGTGTGACATTTGAATTCGATATTAAGTCGGAAATACAATGCTTATTACTGGCAAGCTTTGTAATATATACAATATTACTGATGAACACGTGCGAAGACTGTTGCTCGAGATTATTATTTATGCTCGCTGCCAAGGGGGCGGATGGAAATTGTCTTACCTTACACTTCTGATTGTTGGCATCTAGATCCACCAGTATCCAGAATATATTTTCATCACCATATATATTTGTTTAAAGTTATTGTTTGTGTATATATATACGCACAACTCGCATGAACCCTAGATATTTATGTATTAACAGAATGAAAATGAGAGGGATCCAAAAAGATCTCTGCCTGGAACTGACCCTAGTCTTAACACATTATTAACCGTGAATTAAAAGAAAGCATAGCAATCGTAAATAATTATATATCAAACAAATAAATACCCTAAATAATCTCAACTACAGTCTAGTACACCAAACACACTTTCCCTCAACAACATATTTAAATGACGTCCGAACCCATAGATGACTTAGATTTCCCGCCTCCTTCTCCGCATAGCTCACGTCGCCGCCGGTCAGAGATGATATACGATGTGGAAGAATATCTCAATGAGATAGAAAGCCTCGATGGAAAACGTCGTGCTGTTCTATCGGAAATGGATAATGCCGACTTTAGCTGGTTTCATATACGCACCTGCATAGTCTCTGGGGTAGGATTCTTCACCGACGCTTATGACCTATTCGTTATCAACTTTGTAACAGCAATGCTGGGCTATGTTTATTACCAAGAGACACTACACACTCTACCCACAAATATCGAACTAGGTTTAAAAATGAGTGCAGCAATTGGAACTTTCATTGGACAATTATTTTTTGGTAAGCATTTAAACCTTTAAGAGACAAGGATACTTTCAAGTCCAAGCGATAAAAATTCTTGCCTATCAACCTGCATTTAGTAATTCGTCTCAAATAAATTTCCTTTTTAGGTTGGTTGGCTGATCATCTAGGAAGAAAAAGGGTATGTATTAATATTAATTAGCACAGCTTTTCTCTCAAACTTTAATATACCGTGTAACTTAATATTATCGACTTTTTCAGATGTACGGTATAGAACTTATGATCATGATAGTCGCAACCATAGGATCGTGTCTCTCAGCGGAGGCATTTGCTATAAATATATGTGCCAGCCTGATATTCTGGCGAGTAATACTCGGTATTGGAATTGGCGGAGATTATCCCATGTCTGCAGGTTAGTAATTAAATAACTGATAGTAGGAGGGTAATTTATTCTCCAAATAAGAGTTTGCACCAGCATCCCAATCTTTCCAATAATAGAGCGAAATGAATCAATCTCACAAACTCTCTCTCTCTTTTTTAGTCATAACATCTGAATTTGCAACGAAAGCCCGTCGCGGCGCCATGATTGCTGCAGTTTTTGCAATGCAAGGCTTTGGAATTCTCACTGCAGGAGTAATTTCCGTTGTCGTCCTCTCATTCTACAAATCGGATATTTATAACGATATACGCTATATCGATCACTGCTGGAGAATTATCATTGGATTTGGTGCCGTTCCTGCTACAATAGCGCTATATTTCAGATTAACAATCCCAGAAACACCTCGATTTACCATAGATATTGAGAGGAATGTCATCCAGGCTGCTGACGATGTTTCAAATATTATGAAAGGGAAATATATACAAAAAGATGAAGATATACATGAACTACCATTCAAGCCAGTAGTACCAAAGCATAGTTGGAAGGATTTCAGAGAATATTTTGGACAATGGGAAAACGCAAAGGTTCTACTTGGGACTAGCATATCATGGTTTATGCTTGACGTCGCATTCTATGGCATTGGGCTTAATAATTCAATCATACTAGATGCCATTGGATTTTCTCATTCAGATGATCCATTTATATCATTATGGAATATCAGTGTTGGCAATATTATTATAACTATGATCGGAACAGTGCCTGGATATTGGTTTACTGTGTTCTTTGTGGATAAATTGGGAAGAAAGTTTATACAGTCTATGGGATTTGCAGTGTTGACGGTGCTATTTGTTATACTTGGATTTGCATATAATTCTATTGTCAACACTTCCACTGCAATATTCATAACACTATTTGCACTTGCTCAGGTAAGAACAATACATTGGATAAAGATAATTATGAATATACGTAGAGTTGCATAGCCACTAACATGGCAAGTTTTTTTTTTCATGTAGTTTTTCCAAAACTTTGGACCAAACAGCACAACGTTTATTGTTCCTGGTGAAGCATTTCCCACAAGATATAGATCAACATGTCATGGTATTTCAGCAGCATCAGGGAAATTGGGTGCCATTATTTCACAAATTGGATTTCTACAAATGAAAGACATTGGTGGATACAACAAGTTTGTCGATAAAGTTATCCTTATTTTCTCCCTCTTCATGTTCTTGGGATTTCTTGTCACATTCTGGATACCAGAAACTAGTAAAATGTCTTTAGAAGAATTATCTAATGAACCACAGCTTGGCTTTATCAGGGGACCTAATAATAATAGTAATAGATCTGAAAAAAAGTCAAGACCTGAGGATAATGGCGCAGGCGTTATGGAAATGGCTAGTAGCTCTACTAGTGGCAGCCAGTGGGGAATAGCATATTAGTTATAACTCTAATAGAATCAAAAAAAGAAAAGAAAATAATAGAATGTTGATGAAGCGAGGGGAGGGAGTTATTTATTGTTAGTGATTGACTAAATTGTATAGTATTAATTATAACTGTTTATGTCATGTACGTACATACTGTAGTTTGATTTGTGGAATTCTTGTAATTTCATTTTACACTATTCAGTCATTTAATTGATTGCGACGATTGGATTACGTACAGTCTTTGTAAGTTGTATGAGATTAATTCTTGTTCGCAAAAACACTTGTAAAAGAATAAATTTGTCAGAAATAGTAATTATCGTATAGTGCGGTCGTCTGGCCAGTGTCAGACTACGTGCATGTTGTCAACTGCGAGCGGCATGTTTGCTTACCAAGTTGCACGCTATTCTCCTGCCTTTTATTTTGAGCAGCGCGCCTTCACGCATAGTTACGCGTATTTACATCCTCTAAATTTAGAGTGTGCAATTTTCTTATAACGTCATTGGTTGTTATCGATGACGTATTAAATTCGTGTTCATTTTACCGTTTATGGTAGGTCGCTCGGGTTGTCGGTATTAGAATTTAGCGTTCGCTTTAGCGTTAGGGTAGTATCCCCCACCAATTTCTCGAACCCACTGAAAGGCGATCAAAGCTATTGAAGTTTCTACTGATTGACAAAAAGCGCTATTCCTCTGTGGAATCACGCTACCTACTTTTTAGTTAGTCACAAAGTATGTCGGCTGGTCCTCACACTCCCAGTGACGATCGCCCACCTGACGCAAGAAACAGATCTGTGGCTGGTGACCTTATAACAGTTCATGAAGAGGAAGACGACGAGAGCCACAAATTCAAAGACGACTATAATGGTGAAGAGCGTCAACGAGATAGGACTAACGATGAAGATTTGTTCAGACGCCGACGCAGGTATGCTTTCAAGTCATTTGTCGCTTTATCATTTCTTGTAGTGATTAACATCTCCTTTACTATCGGAAGAAGTGGGAGCCATTCTCCTTCACGTGGTCGACGTTCTCCATCACGTAGTCGGCGTTCTCGCTCACCACGGCAAACTCCGCGACGGTCGCTATCACCACGAACGCCTTCTCAAGGTACTTATCCCGATTCGTATGGTACCACCAAAGGTCGCTCTTCGTATAATGATCCTTACGAAAATGATAGAAGGGAACGGGAATCTGATAGGGACAGAGCGAGAGAACCTCACCGTGAACGAAATAGAAGAGAGCATAGTCGATCAAGAGAGAGATCCGCAAGAAGTTTCAGGTCAGATCGTAGCTATAGTCAGAGAATAATCGCCAGGGAGTCTGCGGGTATGTTGTAGAATGGGAATATGTGGTTGCCTGGAAGCGATTTGCCTATAAGCAGTTTTAAACGATAAATTCATTTGTAGCTATGGCGGCTTCACAGAAATCGCAAAAGGAATGTCGAGTATATGTGGGTAATTTAGCTTATGAAGTTAAATGGGCACAGTTGAAGGACTTTATGCGACAAGGTTGGCTTTCTACTTGATAGTCTATTCTCTTGTCGAAATATGTATACTTACCAAAAGTCATCTAATAGCCGGTGAGGTGGTATTTGCGGATGTTCTGATGCAACCTAATGGAATGTCAAAGGTAAATAATCCAAGAATTAGACATTTCTGTAGTAGTTTAATTGCTCACTGGTTCTCGTTCATGCTATGTCTTCGTTAGGGTTGCGGGTAAGCAGAAATTCTGGTAGTAGAACGGGTAATGCAATAACGCTTGTCATTAAGCCAACTTTTTGTTCGCAGAGTTGTTGAATATCGTACGCCTGAAGACGCTCGACGGGCAATTCAGACCCTGAACGATACAGATTTGCTAGGAAGACCAGTATTCATCCGTGAAGTAAGAATTTTTGATCGTTATGACATTTGTCATGATTGTATACCTTTATACAAAATCAACAATTATTTCAATAGGATAGGGAGAGTGAAGCGAAATTTGGTACTGGATTACCTAATCGTGCCTCTGATAGAAGTGGCGGAGGAAGCAACAATGTGCACAATGGCGGAAACAACGCCGGCGGTGTTGGGGGCAATGCAGGCCGACAAATATTCGTGGGAAATGTGAGTTGCTTTGTGAGCGTATAATCACTTGTATTTTCGTAACTCTTAAATCATTTATATTTTAAACCATAGTTGCCTTATTCTGTTGGCTGGCAAGAACTGAAGGATTTGTTTAGGAATGCTGGTATGTTTAGGCAAACGTTTGTAGATCAACGCTATCAATAATTGACTTTTGCTAAATTACTCTTATCGTCAACAGGGAATATTATTAGGGCGGACATTTTAATTGGACACGATCGTCGTTCTAAAGGATCAGGGACAGTGTTATTCGAAACTCCAATTGATGCAGCCAATGCTATTTGTACGTTGTCAATTAGTTGCTGTTGGGCAAAGCATACCCGATTGATGCATGTGAAGCATGGGCTGATATGGCGACAATAGGACGAAGTAGGATGGAACGATGGATATTGTTTAGATTAATTAGCTAAATGGTCGAATGGTTATTTTCATTCTAGCTAAGTACGATGGGTACGAGTGGAATGGTAGAAGGATTGAAGTTCGAGAGGTGGGATGATGTTTGGTTGTTACTTTCGGGTTGAGTTGGGTGTTGGAGGATGAAACGTTCTATGCGATATTGTCTTTTTGTAAATCGAACGAGTCCGAGCACATTAGGGTGGGGATGTGTTAGAGTCTGAAAAGAATATTGAGACGGTGGGTATTCTTTTACCCGACTTCATTTATCCCTCATTCTCGCAGGATCGTTTTGCTGGAGGGCCGCCGCCGCCTAGATTTGCTGGTCGACCTCGGTTATATAATCCATCATATGGCGGCGGATCGGGTGGGCCTTACTACGGCGGAGGCTATGGATCGGGCTATATATCTATGAGCGGAGGCCCCGGACAATATGAGACTTATGGCGGCGGTTATGGTGAATTTGGCGGTAGCGGTGGCATGTTAGACTATAGCGGCGGAGAATTTGGTGGTAATTACGGAGCACCGTACGGAGCTGGACCTGGCTACGACGGAACGTCAGGGTACTATGGAGCACAGGGATCATCTTCGGGTGGTGTATCAGGGACTCAAGTCTATGTCAAAAACGTAAGGACTGGGGGTGGGGGACATACAGTTACTTTATGAGAACAATGAGAAGGTGGGATAATTTCCGATAAGAGCATCGCGCAAGAATAGTTAATTTAGATATCTATTACTTGTCTTTAATGTATCAATCGATGGGAGAAATCACGAGTCGGGTCGTAAGTAATGTGGATGACTTGGGGATAATAATCAGTGATAATAATCAGGATAATAATCAGGATAATTCTTTTTTTTTTTTTTTTGCGTTGGGGAATTAGCTTCCATATACTACTACAAATCTCGACTTGAGAGAACTTTTCAAGCACTGTGGTAGGTTATGGATCTAATAAACGCGTCATTGCGTTCGTGTTGCGTTCTCGTTGACGTTCAAGGTTCATACTCTCTTGTCAGGTAATGTTGTAAGAACAGAAATACTCGAGATTAACGGTCGACCGAGAGGGGCAGGAATAGTGCAATTTGAAAACTACGAGTCAGCGCGTCTCGCTATCGGTATGTTCAAAGTGCTTGTATTCTCCGATCATCAAGAGAGCATTCCTGACGTTCCGAGTGTTTGTTGTTTATAGAAAAGTTTAATGGATATACGTATGGCGGCCGTGCGATCGATGTAATTTTCGATCGATTTGCACAGTGAAACGAAGGAAAGAAACTGTACTTTTGGATTTGCTATCAACAGACTTATCGTTATGTATAATGTTGCCACAAGGATTTGTGTCAAATTATCTGTTAAATGTAGTATGCTAATATACAAAACTTGCAACGTTTGCGTAAATTGTTTAGAATTTGTATAGTGTTTTAGATATTCTGACAAATATTTGCCCAATCCTTTGTTTGTGTCCAATAATGAACAACGTTTGTGCTAAAAATTGCTATATTCTATTCCCAGTCCAATATAATTATATATTACATATTAATACTGTAACAACTTATCCGGAGTAGCGCCCTAAAGAAAAATTGCTTTGTAACTCCTATGACCCAAACGGTAATTGACCACTACCATATTGTAAACTATCGTTTGTCGTTAACGGATTGCGACATTTTGCACTTTTGTTTTGGGTAAAGCGCGAAGTAAGTTGAAAATAAGCTTTGTTTTAATCCATTGATTACGCGTTTATTTTGAAGATTGACTGAGTTACACATATACGAACTAAAACTGTAAACAGGCCACTTTAAAAATTTCAAGTTTTAGCCCAGATATGGAATCACAAAGTAAAGGGGGCAAGCATACAATTGCCATACTGCAACTTTTTATTTAGCCCTCTCATAACTCAAGATCGAAAATTGTTTACCCTTAAGTAATTTCCTTATTAGAGCAGGAAGCCTTTATTACATAAGCAAACTCGATAAGTCGGTCATGCATGATGGACCGACTTATCGAGAGAACCGACTTATCGAGAGATTTTAAATATTAAAACTGAGAAAAGGGCTTGGGAAGTTTTGGCCGCCTTAGGCCAAAATTGAATCATCGAGAGACCGACTTATCGAGTTTGCCTGTGTATTATCAGGAAAATTTTTGCTTTATATGTAATACAGCACAATTTTTCACTCAACTATCAAGTGGCCAAACTAGTACAGCAACCTCAGCAGTCACATGCCTGCACAAAATTTTGACTTCGTTAAGTGAATTTAGGGAGATTAAATCTGATGGGTATGTACTGCTAAATATAAAGACTATGCCAGCAACTTCTGTACTGAAACACGGTAATAACTTTGATCGGAGTTGACGGAATTGAGAAAAAATGGATGAAGTTGAAATAAGAATGGATAGAGTTAAGGAAAAAGTGGATGACATTAATGTAAAAGCAAACGAAATAAAAGAGCGTATGGAAAAAATAGCTAAGCGTTAATGTAATGAGATAATTAATAAAATCAATCCCAGAAACCAATAATTTTGGCGTCTTTTTCAACCTCTTCGACTTTTGCTTCAACATGTTCGGGTTTAGGGTTTACGACATATTTGGTTGCTGCGCCGAACATCACCGTCGAGGTTTCCATCCCCATCCAGTAGGTAGCGATATTGAAATGTAATATTGCTTGTATTGGTGTACTAGAAAGAGACACAATACATTACTCACGGTGTTTGTTATTCCCGTTTATCGTCGAGGAAAAAAAGTTTCTGAAGGACATATTACGGCGTAAATGTTTCTAAAGGACATATTTGGAGGATTTTGTTAGATAAAAGTGAGAGAAATTTGCATCAATAATTCGTTTACACTTTTCGTTAAGGTTGGCAAGTCACATGATAAAATCTTTCGCTAGTCCTTAAACCTTAAATTAGTAAAACACATGCAAACTCGATAAGTCGGTCATACATAGTGGACCGACTTATCGAGAGATTTTAAATATCAAAATTGAGAAAAGGTTTTGGCTTTCTTAGGCATAAATTGAATCATCGAGAGACCGACGTATTGAGTTTGCATGTGTACCACCTATTTAATCCTAAACGTAGACGTTGCCCTAAAATCTGACCCGTACAAGCACAAAATAGAAATATATCGACCGCAAAAAAGACATAAATATGTGTCAAATTCCATTGTCAAAAATCATCGAGTTAATTCTAATTGATATTTATTAAATAATTGCAAGTCCTTTTGAAATAAAAAGCTCTTTGAAATCGAAACACTTTTATTTTATATTAGAACTGAAACGTTCGAAAGGTATTTGTACGCAATTACGCAAATATTGGAAAGCGTCAATCTATCGACAAAACCTAAGCTTATTGATAAATCAAAGATTGCCCTGAATTAAATTTAAATTGTTGTTGTTTGACAATCGTTGGTACTCTAATTTGGATACGAGTAGACTGAACGCGTTAACTTTTTATGCGCGTATACAAATAATTGATGCCTGAGAATAACTGGAGCGCTCCAGCAAGGTAATAAACCCAAGCATACAAGCCGTCTTGGCAAAGAAATTTTAAAACAAAATAATCAATTGGCTCTCCAATGGCCCAAATTGTACCCCAGAAAAGATTTATGGGCATCGTCAAAAGGAATATAGAATTCTGAGTATCAAGTAATTTGGCCGAGTTGCAACACCTTTAGGTCGATATATAACCATTAATAGCTAGATAAACATCCAAATAGAAATCAAAATCGTCCATAAAGGGTCAAGTAGTCCTGGAAAGAAGGTCCTTTTCATTTTTTGTTCCCATTTGGACAGGAACAGGATGAAATAAATACGTCAATTTTCCCTTATTTTGTTCCTGTGAGCAACTGACTACCAACCACTTTTAGCTTAAATTCCGAGAGCGAAAAAAAAAATTTAATTAATATCTTTTATGTAAGTTTCTCAACAAGCACAAATCCTTCTAATGATAGTGAAGAGTCTCCTGATCCGAATCAAGTGATAATGACCTGACTGGTGTAGGTGTGTCCATTTTGTTTCCCAATTTTTATTACCTAAAATAGACATCCAACCCAAATTTGGAAAGAGAGAAAAATCGGAAATGATTACACACACGGATCATCGGTTCAGAAACCTTTTTATTCAAACGATGTCATTAGTTCAAGGGGTTAATAATCCAGCACTTGACAACTTGGTTCAATGCTCCTTGGAAAGTGAAGACAAATGGTTAAGACTGAGATGGATTCCTTGCTCGGAATTCACCAACATAGAGCCAACTCAAATCGACAATGTCTACTACGCCAGTCATAACTACGCTAAGGAAATGCTGCTATGCCTTGGAAATGATGAGACATGTACACAAACACTTGTTAGTGAGTTTGCTAGAATATACTCACTTCCAACACACAAGTACAATGATGTTAATCAGTTCAGAAGACATTCCGTATGGCTTAAGAATCGCAACTACTTGATAAAAGGATTTACCGAATATAATAACAACTATTACATGGTTGCGAATGAACTCTTTTACCATTGTTATTCCCGATATGGATTCTGCTCCGCATGTGGAATACTCCGATGTAGTCCCGTGTGGTGTATCTGTGGACATCAGCAATTATCCGATGGATGGAGTAGCAACAATAAACAACTCGATGAGTTTATTAAGAAATCTCAATTACAAACAAACTCACCAAATCATGCCTATTTGGAATGGATTCCATA